TGCTGCAGAGATTTTGTTTATGGCCAGTTTTGGGGCCAGTTTATGGCCAGATTTTCGGGGGCTTGCTCCCAACCCCCCATTTTGAGTCCTTAATCTGTATTATCAGTAAATAACGTTCTTTTCAAATGATTTACATGACTCCTGCAAGCTCTGCCTACATCTGCCCACTGGCAATTGACACTTTGTCCAAGCCCCACACAGGAGCACTTACAGTGGAGTGTACTAAGAAAGGGTATCTCTTAGTCTTGGGCCACAGAAGGGAAATCGATATTTTAGTTCTGATAGGAAGGATGGAAAGGAGTTGGCCAGGACAAGAGTTGGGGCCCAAGTTAGGCAAGCAGAAGGAAGAGGCCAGGGCAGCTCCTGCATGGGTCCAGTTCCCTAGGTGGTATGAAGCTTGGTAAGCAAGGGGCTAAGGAAGCCACTGGGGCAGAGCCACATGAGCAGGATTGGCAGAGGGAGAGGTGAGGATGGCAAAGCAGGCAGGAAAGGGTGGAGGGTGCCGCGGGTTAGGCAAAGAGTTCAGACAGTCGAGGAATGATGGAAAGCCAATGGGGGCAGCTTTGCTTTGGGATCCAACAATGACTGTTGGTACCCAGCTCTGCCATTTACTAGGTGAGGGACCAAAGACAAGTTACGTTCTCTGAGCCAATTTCCTTATCTGTAAAATGAGAATAATAATTGTACCTTCTTTGGTGGTGAGGACTCAGTGCAATGATGTATTTGTAAAGGGCTCTGCATGATCTCTGGACTCAGCAAATGTTAGCCATATATAAATAAATGCAGATTCTGGATCCAGTCCCCAAAGTAAGGAAAGACTGGTCCTCAGGTGCCCTTGCTGGAAAAAGCGGGATGGAAAAAGTGGGATACTTTTATTTTTTGTAGAGTCTCGCTCTGTCATCTACGATGTAGTGAGTGGCGCGATCTCAGCTCACTGCAACCTCCACCTCCTGGGTTCAAGCAATTCTCCTGCCTCAGCCTCCTGAGTAGCTGGAGCTACAGGTGCACACCACCACACCCAGCTAATTTCTTTTGTATTTTAGAAGAGATGGAGTTTCACTGTGTTGCCCAGGCTGGTCTCGAACTACTGAACTCAGGCAATCCACCCGCCTCAGCCTCCCAAAGTGCTAGGATTACAGGCATGAGCCACTGTGCCTGGTCATGATTCTTGATAAAGTGGCTTTGTAGGATTCTTGCCTAAAACTCGGCTCACCAGGCCGAGACAAGGCATAGTTGAAAGGAGGATGCAAAGGAGCCTGACTCCACTTTAGGAGAGACGCTTGTCAGCTGTTCTATCCTTAGCATACAGAAGTGAGTGGCACATAGTGGGGCTTCGGTCAATCATTGGTAAATTGGTAAATGAATGAACCATTCTGAGAAATTTTCTTAAAAAAAAAAAAGGCCCTAATTGAATGAGAGAGATACGTTTTCCTCCCTTAGCTTTCTAATTCCTGGAGTTAATAAATAGAAACATATATTTTCCCTAGAAAATAATACATTTGTTAAAACAGATTCAGCCTACTTTCATTTTCTATGTCAGCAAATGGTGAGGAAATAATGTTTTTAGTGTTCTAGATGATGTACTTTTCTAACATGCTTTTTATTTGTATGAAATAAAAACAGGATTATTTGGAAACAAATAGCTATCCAAAGTCACATAAAATACGTCTCTCATATTTTGCTTATCAGTTTCTGGTGGCAGGTGTCAATCTAAGCAGTACATTAGAATCACTTGGGGGCTTTTAAAAATCCCAATGCCAGGACCACACTCAGGGCAATTAATTCAGAATCTCTGAAGCTGGGACCCAGGCACCTTCACTTTTCTTTTTCTTTTTTTGGTATTAACTTTATTCTATTTTCTGTATAACTTTAAGTACATAAAGTTTTATTTCCACAGGCCTCAGGAAATGGGTAGAAATCACAGGACAATCTCTTTTCCCACTAAAAAAGTTGCATATTTTGGTAAGTGTTTGTCCTAGAGGGAAAAAACTGAAATTTACATTAGCAGTGCTGTGCAAGATTCTTACATAAATCAAGACCTAAAAGCAGCTTGCAGTGGAGGTTTTGGTCCCCTGTTCAGGTGCTTGGACAGAAGCCATAAGCTGGTGAGCATGACAAGGAAAAGGAGGCAGTGAAGACAGGTGACAGGCACCTAGCAGGGAAGGAGGATTCAGGTGTGCCAGACTCCTTGGAATGGGGTGTTGTTTTTCCTTTTTTTTTAAATCTCTGTAGGAAGGTGCTGGGTAGGGATCCCAGAGAAAGAAAGGGTCCAATACTTCTTTAACTGCCCTGGATGAAGGGCACTGCTGTAGCAGCTAGTATCGGAGACTCTCCTATCTCATGGTTGAGGCAGAACTAGGATAGAATAGTGAATAAAAGGAATGCTTATAGGAAACCATTTTCCGTGGAATGCTAGATGGCCAAGCCTCAGCCTTCAGTCCAGTGTAACCCTTGCCTCACTTGTCAATAGTGAAAAATTAGTTTGGTTAGAAGAACCAGCTGGAAACACACCAGCTTCTGCTACCTTCATGCTCATCGTTAGAAAAAGATAACCAGTGTGAACATTCTGATCTGTTAATTCCTTGGACTGTTTTCCTCCCAATGGACTGTTTGTTGGTAGAATAACCTCCAAAACTCAAAGCTAAAATGCATCATTTTAGCCTGGTCGGCAGTTCCTTAAGAATGGACTGGTGGCATGGTTGAGCTAATATGGAAAAGCTACACCTTCCTGCAGAAGATCACCTGACCTGCTATGCCACTGCAAATCTCAGCCTGAGGTATAATTCAGTGAAGGCAGGTAGCTGTGCTTCTCAGAGCAGAGAAGCAGTTTTAAGAGCAGAAAGGTAGAGGAAATCTAGAAAAGAACCGTCTTGATACAAATTTATCCCATGGTATGAAGGGAGGGCAAAGAACCCAGTGGCACTTTGCTTATCCAGCAATTTCTGTCACTGTGGTGACCAACTTCTGCCCATTCCAGAGGGTCTTGAACTGCTCAGGAACTGGGAATTCACTAAAGTCACTGCCTATTGTAGGAATGAGGACGTTCATCTCAGAAGATTTGGCACTCACTATTTCACAATCCAGAGAATTCTTCCTCAGGTAAGCATGGCAGCCATCTGTTTTGTTGATTGAAATGGTTGGCACTTTACTCATTACCTAAACTTTGACATCCCTACTTGTTGGGAGCAAGCCCCCCCCAAATCTGGCCATAAACTGGCCCCAAAACTGGCCATAAACAAAATCTCTGCAGCACTGTGATATGTCCATAATGGCCCTAATGCCCATGCTGGAAGGTTGTGGGTTTACAGGAATGAGGGCAGGGAACACCTGGCCTGCCCGGGGCGGAAAACAGCTTAAAGGCATTCTTAAGCCACAAATGAAAGCATGAGTGATCTGTGTCTTTAAGAGTGTGTTCCTGCTGCAGTTAACTAGCCTAACCTATTCCTTTAATTCGGCCCATCCCTTCGTTTCCCATAAGGGATACTTTTAGTTAATTTAATATCTATAGAAACAATGCTAATGACTGGTTTGCTGTTAATAAATACATGGGCAAATCTCTGTTCGGGGCTTTCAGCTCTGAAGGCTGTGAGACCCCTGATTTCCCACTTCACACCTTTATATTTCTGTGTGTGTGTCTTTAATTCCTCTAGCACCGCTGAGTTAGGGTCTCCCCAACCAAGCTGGTCTCGGCACCTACTGTTGATTATCTCCACAATGCCCACTATATCATCGAATACCAGACCAAATTTCTTACAGTTATCTACTGTAATGGAGTTAATTTTGCCCTTGATTTGCAATGTCGTGTTGACACACTTGTATATGTAAGCTGCGTGTTTCAGCTCTGTGTCATCAATCACCAGGGTGGAAACATTTTCCTGATTTTCCACTCTCTGCTTCTTGCCCTCCAGTTCAAGTACAGCTGGCTCTTTCTTTGTGGCTGGTTTGGGGTCTAGGTGCAGAGAATGGCTTGGGGACACTGCATACTGGACCACTCTGAGCCTTCAGAGTTCTTGTGAGTCTTCATGTCATCAGATACATGTTTCAGGGCATGTGTGATGCTCTTCCCCTGATTAATCTACGCAAACAGTGCTGAGAGGGAAGTGGATTCATCTGAGCCTGAACTGATAGAGACTAGCGGAGGAGGGGGGCCTGGTGGTGGGGGAGGAGTAGCGGATCCAGCAGAGGGTCCAGATGGCAGTCCAGTCAGTTCTTTTGCCACAGGCCCTGTTTTGCTCCAGGCTAGTCCGGTGGTATGGAACTCCTTAATGTAAGCCTACAGCTCTGTCCGTATACTTAAATAAGCTTTGAACCAGTCTACATGCATCTTATCCACATCTTTGTACTCTTTAAGGACTCGGTTTGTATAAAACACTGCAGCATGATTCATTTCTTTCACATAAGGGCCAGGATTGGGAGCCACAGCCACCCAAACCAGGGCCTGGATACTTTCGCTGACAGCTGACAGGTGATTACACAACTTGCTGCCTCGGTTCTTCTCCCGAAAGGTTATCACTTCTTTCATCTGTTCTGAGATGGGTGCCAACAAATCGGAAAGCTGCCGGCTGTTGACATTGAGAAGCTGTAACCAAGAGAGTTCACTTCAACTTCAAACCTGTGTGGACCATCTCCGCATCTTTCTGCACATCTCCCCCAATCTCTTTACTGATCTTCAAGTACTCTGCCACAGGACAGGCAAGCGAGTCAAATGCCTGCGCATATGGAGCTGTTCCTGCTTTTGAAGGACTGTCTCCATACCCACGGTGCATGTCAGAGGTATGGGATACTGCCTCTAGGCAGCCCACTGCCCTGTCCAATTTTTCTACCAGATTTTGCATGTCAGTCATAATGTACCACCTCCCGATTGCGATCAGCCGCTCTCCACTTCCCGCACCTTCACTTTTCAAAGATTCCCAGGTGATGCCAACCTGCTCTGCGGATGGAGCCCCTAAGACTCCCGAGCGACGCAGACTACGTTTCCCAGAGGCCTCCGCGGCCGCAGCCACTTCCGCTTCCGGTCCGGTCCGCCCCCGCGTGGGGCGAGAGCTACACCAGCAGCTGGCTGGTAGCTAGTGTCTGGACAGCGTGGCGTGGTCGCTGTGTCTCTGGGTGTGCAGCTCCGCAGCCCTGCCGGCTAGGTTTGGTTTGTCAGCGGCCGCCACCAGCCTGGGTCCCTGAAGCCTCGGGCCCCTGGCGGGTGCTCCCCGCCTTTCCCAGGGGCGGGTCGAGGGGCGAGCCGGGGTGGGAGGGGACGGCGGCGGTGGGCAGGGCCTACCCACAGTGGCTGAGCCATGTGGAGCGACCGCCCGAGACTGGTGCATCACAGAGCGCTCCAGGCTTGCGCCCTGGCAGACAGATTGGGCCACTGACAAGGCCGTCCCCCCGTGCTGCCAAAAGTGCTTGGCGTGGAGCTGGCTGCAGTCCAGGACGGATCCCAGCAGCCGTTCCCTTTCCTTTCTTCCCGAGCGTACCCACCTGGACCTGTCTGCCCACCCGTGGAGGGAACGGGCGGGCGGGGGCCTGGTCCAGAGGGCAGATTCTAGCTAGGCTAGGGCACGGAGGGACTTCCTCATATTTCCTCTCTTCTTTCCCAGATTGACTTACGCAGAATTCTCTGCCCTTGCCTGGGAGAACAGTTCAGGAGACAGATGGCCCCAAGAGCCCAGATCCAGGCAAGTTTGATTTTTCCATTTCTTGAGAAGCCACGTGTTTCAGCGAGGTGGGGCTTATGCCTCTTGCCCAGACGATGCCCTGCCCTGTGTGTGGACCAAGCTACCCGAACCAATCCTGGATGGGTCCCACTATTTCCATCCTCTCTACCCATTAGGTAGTCATTCACCAAATAGATTATTGCTACCCATGTTTTCTAGAGTGCTAGAAACAGAAAAGTACTTTGCAACCTGGCAGATGATGAAAAAAATACACATTAGCATATAAAGACGTAGGCCATAAAGACATAGGGTGATAGCAGTGCTCTCTTGACCTTTAGTGTGTGGTGGGGTGGGAGGGGTGGAGTAGTGGAAGCCTTAGTTCTTCCTGAAGAATATAAATGAGATGCGTAATCGCAGAGAATACTAGGGGAAAGCGCTGCCTGAATGAAGTCATTATGGCAGAACCATGAACAAACTGGACTGAGAAAGTTGGAAACATTCATGGTCTAGAATCCCAGACTGGAGTTTGCCTTTATCCTGGAGAAAACTAGGTTTTGAAGGATTTTGAGAAACTGATTATGTAGTTGGTATTTTGAAAGAAAGTGATAAACATTTGAGTATCTATTATAGAAGTAAATAAAATTAAAAAAATTAAAGATTAGCTACATTTCTACTGTTCTAACAAGTCATTTCATTTGAAACACCTTTTGCGTATTTTTAAGGCCTACTCTTTTTTCTTTTAATATTTCATAACCATTCCAATTTGTTCTAGTTTCATTCCTACTTTTTATAGCTTCCTTTTATACTGTACCTTCAACCAGCCCTGGGACCTTGAGCAAGTTCTTCCAACTCTCTGAACCTTTGTGTCTTTAGCTACAAAATAGATTTTACTTTATATAGTTATGGCAGAAATTTAGAGAGATGATACATATCTCAGGGTTTAGCACTGTGGCTGGTACCTAGTAAGTTGTTACTGTTATGAAAAGCAATTTTTTTTTTCTTTTTTAAAAATATTCTGCCCCAGAGTTAGATCATACTTCCTGTAAATTTTCGGATAAAGCTAATCACTTTCCATGTCTTTTCAAAGTTTCTATTCATTTGTTGATGGAACAAAGCCTGAACACTTCTGTGTGAGGCCGTGTTTTTGACTGGGAGGCAGCAGTGACCCACACTGTCCCCCTGGAGCTCACATTAGAGAGGATGCTTACAGTCAGTGCAAACCTCTCCTGCCAGGTGGTGAGAAATCCTGTGAAGAAAAATGAAGTGGGTTTCGAGACAGAGTGGCAGAGGATGGGGTGGAGAAAGAGACCTTTTTGACGAGGTGACATGAAGGGTGGGGTGAGCAGAGGCCAGGCATGGAGGAGGAAGCAGGACAGGCATGCAGGAAGAACACACTTGAGGGAGGAGTCCCACCTCCCCCCAGCCCTCAGCTTTTACTTGTTCATTTCCATGAGCACCGTTGGAACTGTCAGAAGCTGGCTTTGACCACCTTGCTTCCTTCTCTTGGGATGCTTCCCTCAGGGGTTCCTGGATGAGCAGAATTGGGTTTGCTTTTGCAGGGACTGCTGACATTTGGGGATGTGGCCGTGGCCTTTACCCGGATTGAGTGGAGACACCTGGATGCTGCTCAGCGGGCCCTGTACAGGGATGTGATGCTGGAGAACTATGGGAATCTGGTGTCTGTGGGTGAGGATGACTTTCTCCTTGACTCAAGATTGGTCTGCTGGGCAACTTTGTGTTTTCACAGGGTGAATGGTTTGGGGTATTGAAAAAAATCTTAAATGATGTGCTTTTTGTTTTGTTTTTCTTAAGTGTGGGCTTAGAGGCTGGAGTTTATGCCCCTTCCACCCCTCAAGAAAGGTCAGAGCCATACAGAGTTAAGATGGGTAGCTTTGTGGTACCAACTAGCCCAGTTCTGGAACGTTTCTGTGTCATGATTCATCTGCCTCCCAAAATAGGAGTTTCTCGTCCTCCAGGAGGACCTGGTTTTCTAATTGACTTTGCCCCCTTCATTTGCTTTACTGCATGAGTTGGACATCCTGGGTGCCACCCTCGAGGCCTCTCTAACCTGTCCGTGCTCCTTGCAGATGCTCAAGTTGACACTGAGGTCTGGAGTGACTGCTTGTGCTTGTAACCACTATCACATTCCTTTTCATTCATTTTTTTTCTTCTTCTTCTAAGATCCTTTTTCTTTATGAACAGGGCTTCTCTCTTCCAAACCAAAACTAATCACTCAGTTGGAGGAAGGGGCAGAGCCCTGGATGGAGGTGCGAGAGGCTCCATCAGGCACACGTGCAGGTGAGTGGGTGGGAAACATCCCAGCAGCAGCGGAGCACACGGAACGGTACGGGGGCTCCTGAGTGGAAAGCTCATCTCTGAGTGCCCTGTCGGTGCAGAAGGGCACTAGTTTCCTCTTTTGATGTCATCCTCCTGTCAAGTGGCTGGCTGCTTTTCTCCCCAGTCTTTCTGTACTTGGGAGGGCTGCTCCCTTCCTGAGGGCCTCAGGCCCATCTGTGCCATCTCCCAGCCCTCTGAAATCCTCAAGCTCTTTATGTGATTTTTCTCTCTCTCTTTCCAGGCATTCACCAGGCTATCTTTTGTTTCTTTCTACTTCTGGTCCATTTCCTTTCTTTTATATTTTTTGAGACAGAGTCTTGCCCTGTTGCCCAGGCTGGAATGTAATCATAGCTTACTGCAAACTCAAACTCTGGACTCAAGCCATCTTCCCGCCTCAGACTCCTGAGTAGGAGTAGCTGAGACTACAGGCGTGCACCACTATGCTTGCCTAAGTTTTAAATTTTTCTTTTATGTAGAGATGGTGTCTCGCTATATTAGTCATGGCTGGTCTCGAACTCCTGGCCTCAAGTGATCCTTCCACCTTGGCCTCTCAAAGTGCTGGGATTACAGGTGTGAGCCACCACACCTGGCCCCTGTTCATTTTCCATTCCTTACCCACTCTCATGGAAGCTTGCTAACTCACTATATACCACTTACCAGTGGTAGTCGCAGATTCCAAATGTAAGCATGGTTTTCTAGCTCTCAGGTAATTGCGATTTTGGCGAACACATTGTTGGGGAAGCATTTTCTTTCCTTTTCTTACGGATCTTCTTTTATTTCTCTTTTCTACTGTCCTTTGCTCTTGGCTTCCATTTTTTTCTGTGTATGCTTTGTATATGTTTCTCTATATCACTTTCTCTGTGCCATAGTTCATTTCTAAATCTCTAAACCTGAATATTTCTCTCACCTAAAATATTTATCCTGCCAGTATTTCTTCTTCTAAAACTCTAATTGTCATTTTGCCTCTGTCATCTTCAGGAGAATGTTTATAACTGTATTTCATGTAAAATACCAGTAATACATAGTTTTGCTTAACCTAGGTCTTTGCTGGTTGTGGGTGGGATGCTTTTGAAGTAATTCCTTCTATTCTTACTATGTTTAACATTTCCCTGTAAATTCTTGTGTAGATTCTTTATATAGTAACAAAAGTCGCTCAGTCTTCTTTATTCTCTGTTCTTTCTGTTTTAATTTTGGTTGTTATTTGAAATAGAATGTTTAAAACTTAGAGGTAATGAAAACAAGCAATGTTTCCCCTAATATTTCTTTCATCTGCTTAGAGGACTAGTAAATCTTTCTACAAAGACTTCACAACCATTCAGTATTTTATGGTTTTTTTTTTTTGTGTGTGTATATATTTCCCTTTCTGTTAGTTGTTAGACATGCTTATGGTACCACATTCAGATGGTTCAAATGGTATGCAGTCTCCTTCACATACCTTTCTCATCACTCAGTTCCCCTCCCCAGAGGCATCCCTGTATCAGTTTCTTGTGGAGATTTGCATATGTGATGTGTACTTTGTGAGAGTATCCATGAATTCTTTAAGTACATGGTAGCACGCTCTTTTGCCTGTTACTTTGATATTTATGTCTTAGAAGTCATTTGACATAACTATATTGTTTAGAGCTTCTCTCTCTCTCTCCTCTCTCCCTCTCTTTCTTTCTTTTGGAAACAGAGTCTCACTCTGTTTCCTAGACTGAAGTACAGTGGCTTGATCATGGCTCACTGCAGCCTTGACTTCCTGGGCTCAAGCGATCCTCCTGCCTCAGCCTCCTGAGTAGCTGGGACCACAGGAGCATGCCACCACACCTGGCTAATTTTTTTTATTTTTAATTTTATTTATGTATTTATTCTTAAATTTGTTTTTGTAGGGATGAGATCTCACTATTTTGTCCAGGCTGGTCTGGAACTCGTGGCCTCAAGCTGTCCTCTTCCCTCAGTTTCCCAAAGTACTGGGATTACAGGCGTGCGCCACCATGCCAGCTTATCTTTCTTTTTAATGCCTGCATAGTGTTCCACTTTATGGATGTCCTATAATTTATGTAATCAGTTCTCTTTAGTGGACATAATGACTCTGACCAGTGTTGCAGTGGTTATCCTCATACACATCAATTCTCTTGTGTACAAGTAAATCTGTAGAATAAATTCCTATAAAAATTGTTAAAGGTTAAAATTTTAAAATCCACCAAGTTTGGTGGGTATTTCCACTATTCATAGAGATAGTACATGTTTATACTCCTAATGACAACATATGAGTGCCACTTTTATCATCGCTTGTCAACGGTGTCTTATATGCTTTGATCCTTGCCAGTCTGAGAGGTGAAAGTATTTTATTGTAATTTTAATTTGCCTTTTTCTTATCAGGAGCGTGATTTAGCATGTTTCAACATTTTCAGCAACCCTTGTGTTTATTTTTCCTGAGAACTACCTGTTCCAGTCCTTTGCCCATTTTACTGTTAGATTGTTGGACAATAAAAATTGTTAATGTGAAGGCTTCTTTATACATTCAGGAAATTAATTGTATATCATATATATCACAGATTTTTTTTTAAAAAGTTTGTTTTATATCAACTTTATATTAACAAAGGTAATGATGGATATGCTTATCTTTGCATCTTTGCATTGTGTCTGGGCTTCTCATTTAAGCTGGCTATTGAGTTGGGATACACATACATTGTTATTTAAAGGAAGTATTTCGTTCATATGTTTTGTTAAGAAATTTTAGTTTTTTAAATCAAGCATGATTGCTGAATTTTATTAAATGCTCTTTCAAGATATGTGGAAATATCTGTCTTTTCCATTTTGATCTGTTTCTGTGGTAGATTTTATTCTCAATTATCTTGGCCATGACACATTATATCATTCTCTGAATGTGACAGTAGATGATTCCGTTTGCTAATCTTTTATTTAAATTTTTGCAGAGACTTAAATGTATTTACATTTTCTTTTTCATCTGCCCATTTTCATTGGGCTTTGACTTTAATTTTATAATACTTTCATAAAACATTTTCTGGCCTTTCATATTTTTATCCTTTAGTCTAGTTTAACTCACATGATAGCTGTTCCCTAGAGGTTTGGGTCCTTTGTCCCGTTTTTGCTTATTTATTGTGATGGGAGCAGAAGGGAGGAATTGGGGGTATTTTTTTGACAGTGTTGTCAATAGTGACTTGTCCAAATAGATTTTCTCTCTCTAGGAAACAGTTTTAGTAATTTATAATTTCCTAAAAACTATGGAGCAATTCAAGGTTGTAAGTTATTTGTGTTAAACAAAGTAGCTTTTTATAACTCTTTTAGTAATATCCTCTGCATCTTTGGTTATTTTCCCTGATTTCTTACTTTGTCTTTTTCCCATTTCCTATGTTTTCCTATTTCCCCTTTATTAGCTCTGTTTTAGTTTTTTGAAGAAGAGCATTTGGGTGTATTTATTAGTGTTACTGTTTTCTGTGTTTTGAGTCTTAAGTTCCTTTTCCCTTTTGCTTTCCTTGGGTTTATTTACTTTTTCCTAAACATTTTAGTTATTCATTAATTGATTTTTCTTCTTTCTTATTGATGTAATGTAAACATTTAAAGCCTTAAACTTTGTCTATGTAATGTTTTAGTTATATTCAGTAGGTTACAATATGTAGAGTTGTCATTATTTTTTAGTTATTTTGCAATTTGTGTTTTGATTTCTGTGATTGAAGTACTAAGATATTTATAAGCTAGACTCTCCTTTTCTTTCTTAAAGCCTTTAAAAAAATTAACACATATTTAGAAAAGCTGATAAAATATGTGTACAGCCCAAATTAGTATTTTAAAACTCAATACCCATGTAACCAAAACTTAGGTTAAAAAATAGAACTTTGGCAATACCTGAGTAAATCGCATCATAATTCCTCCCAATTATTACCCATTCTCCTCCCCTTGAACTAACACTATAGTTTATTTTTGCCTTTTTTTAACTTTATGTGAATGGAATCATATAGTACATATAATTTTTTGTCTGGCTTATGCATAACATTTTTTCAAATTCATTCATCATTTTTATTTCTTTCTTTGCTGTGGATCCATGCTTCTGAAAACCCTAGCATGCCTCAGAATGCATGCTGCAGTACAGTTGTGGGGCCCCTGCAGAGTTCTTTATTCAGCAGGTTCTCAGGCATGCTGATGCTGGTGCTGCGGGGCTGGAGCCCATGCTTGGAAAATCACTGCTGTAGAATGTCTCATTGTGTGACTCTACCTCAGTTTCTGTCTTATATTCAGATGCATATATGCCATTTTCCAGCTTTTGGCTATTAGAAGTGCTGTAAACATTCTTATAAATTATTTTTTGGTTCCTATGTGGCTACATTTCTATTGGGCATGTATTCAGCTTTAGTATATAATGTCAAATAATCTTCCAGAGTTTTGTACCCAGTTATACTCCTTCATCAGTGTGTGAGAGCACTCCTTGTCCCATGTCCTGGCTAGCACTTCCTGTGGTCAGTCTTGTGAAGTTAGTCATTCTGGTGGATGTGCAGTGTGCCTCATTGTGGTTTTCATATCCATGTCTCTATATCTAATGAGGTTAAAGACGTTTTAGGGCTGGGCACAGTGCTTCATGCCTGTAATCCCAGCACTTTGGGAGGCTGAGGTGGGCGGATCACCTGAGGTCAGGAGTTCGAGACCAGCCTGGCCAACATGGTGAAGCCCTGTCTCTACTAAAAATACAAAAAATTAGCTGGGTGTGGTGACATGTGCCTGTAGTCCCAGCTACTTGGGGAGCTAAGACAGGAGAATTGCTTGAACCTGGGAAGTGGAGGTTGCGGTGAGCCGAGATTGCGCCACTGCACTCCAGCCTGGGTGACAGAGTGAGACTCCATGTCAAAAAAAAAAGACCTTTTAGAGTATTTATTGGTCCTTATAGAGCATCTCTGATTGGGTAGGTATTTCAAGAACCTGTTACTGATTACATGTATTGTACCATCCCTCTCTGTATTGTTACTGACTGTTAATGATCTTTATGAATAGCAGTTATTCCTTTTTCGGGGCTCAAACAATCCTGTCTCAGCTTCCTGAATAGCTGGGACTATAGACACATGCCACCAGGCTCAGCTAATTAAAAACATGTTTTTTTTTTTTTGTAGAGATGGAGACTTGCTAAGTTACCCAGGTAGGTCTGGACTTCCTGGCCTCAAGCCATCCTCCTGCCTCAGCCTCCCAAAGTGCTGGGATTATAGGCATGAGCCACTGTGCCCAGCTGAGTTCTTCCAGTTGATCAATCTCTTTCTTCTTTGTCAGTGCTTTTTTGTGTCGTGCTTTATTTAAAATGCTTATTTTAAATTATATATTATTAACAATTATTTATTAACATTTATTATTTTTGCGATTTTAATATTTTTTCTTTTCCCAAGATCACAAAGATATTCTTCTGTGTTAATTTCTAGAAGCTTTATTATTTGTTTTTTTTTTTTGTTTGCATTTACCATCCTCTTGGAATGGATTTTTGTGCATCATATGAGGTAGGGTTTATATTTATTTTTTTCTCCTGAAATGTGCTAATGCAGAGCCTCCTCTTCCTCACTGCTTTGCAAGACCACCTTTGTCATAGAACAAGTACCCACATGTGTCTTCACGTTGCCAGCTTGGCAATCAGTATCTTGAAATATTCTCTAGTTTGATCATAATACATTAAACACATATCCCATCAAAGACCATTGGAAGAATCGGGGCTGTTTCTGACTGGGCTTCACCTTCAACTTGCATTTCCTTGAAAAGATAAGTCTTAGCTCTAATATCTGTTGTATGGAATTTGTCCCTAGACTACTAAGTATAAATACATATAAATATATGTATGTGTATATATCTTTAGGTATAGATAGATACAACTTATATTTGTAAGAAAAGTGCATTTAGTGAAACAATTGGTTGGTGATTGTTAATTTTACTACAAGTTTGTCTCTATTAGTTTTTCAGAATGTTTTTATCTGAATCATTTTGCTCTGTCTGTCTGGGGTCTTGTGTCTGTACTTTGTAAAAAGCTAGAGAAAATTCACATAGTATACCCATTGATTGTGTGTGGTTTTTTCTTTTTTCTTTTTTTTTTTTGAGACAAAGTCTTGCTCTGTCACCCAGGCTGGAGTGCAGTGGCACTATCTCAGCTCACTGCAACTTCTGCCTCCAGGTTCAAGCGATTCTCCTGCCTCAGCCTCCCGAGTAGCTGGGATTAAAGGCATGTGCCACCAGGCTAATTTTTGCATTTTTAGTAGAGACAGGGTTTCGCCACCCGAAGTGCTGGGATTACAGGCATGAGCCACCGTGCCTGGCATAGATATGTTGTTTTTTAGATATGTTAAAAATTTAGTTTATAGTAAAATCTTATTGTCCTGAGAACTATTTTTGTTCCTTGAATATTTTTTCTATTTTCTTTTTTCTTCTGAGCAATTGAATATTGGTTCACTGTTAAATCCTCACAGATAAATATTTTTCTCAAGTTCTTGGTGACATCATAATGTTCTCAAATATACCACCTGCAGAAATCTGTCCTAGTAGTAATTATAGCTTTCTTTGTGACTCTGGTCTTTCTCCTCAATTTTGTATTTATTCTGACATTGTCTTTTTTCTTTTTTAGCTGTTTCCTGTGTTGTCTTCCTAACTTTGCAACTTCTTAGGTGCCCACCGCATTCTTTAAATGCAATGTTTATAGTACAGATTCTTTTCTTTTCTTTAAAATCATACTTCTCCTGCCCTTAGCCTGGCCATCTTTTCTCAGCAAGAATCACAAATGGGACACATTAATAATTTTTCATAACCTTTAGTTATGTAGCATAGAACAGTATTCAAGTCCTTGCACAACTCTCACTTTCAGCATTTCGACATAAAGAACGTTTGAATTTTTTAAATTTTCTTTCAGTCCAGGATTACTGGTTTGAAACAAAGATGTCAGCCCTAAAGCAAAGCACTTCTGCAGGATCTGTTGTGGGAGAGCGAAGGAAAAGTGTCATGATGGAAAAAGGCCTGGACTGGGAGGGCAGAAGCTCCACAGAGAAGAACTATAAGTGCAAGGAATGTGGGAAAGTCTTCAAATACAATTCGTCCTTCATTAGCCACCAGAGAAATCATACCAGTGAGAAACCACATAAGTGTAAAGAATGTGGCATCGCCTTTATGAACAGTTCATCCCTTTTAAATCACCATAAGGTTCATGCAGGCAAACAGCCTTATAGATGTGTTGAATGTGGGAAGTTCCTGAAGAAGCACTCAACGTTTATCCACCATCAGAGAATTCATTCTAGGGAGAAACCCCACAAATGCATTGAATGTGGAAAAACTTTCAGAAAGAACTCAATCCTTTTAAGTCATCAGAGAATTCATACTGGCCAGAAGCCCTACAAATGTAATGACTGTGGGAAAGCCTTCGCTCAGAATGCAGCCCTTACTCGTCATGAAAGAATACACAGTGGAGAGAAGCCTTTTAAATGTAACGAGTGTGGGAGAGCTTTCAGGGATAACTCAACTGTGTTGGAACATCAGAAAATCCATACTGGTGAGAAGCCATATCAGTGTAATGAATGTGGAAAAGCCTTTAGGAAGAGCTCAACTCTTATTAGTCACCAAAGAATGCATACTGGAGAGAAACCCTATCACTGCAGTAAATGTGGAAAATCTTTCAGGTATAGCTCATCCTTTGCTGGTCATCAGAAAACTCATAGTGGAAATAAACCCTATCAGTGTCGTGACTGTGGGAAGGCCTTTACAAAGAGCTCAACCCTTACTGGACATCAGAGAATTCATACTGGAGAAAAACCCTATCACTGTAAGAAATGTGGGAAAGCCTTTCGGCACAGCTCAGGCCTTGTTGAACATCAGAGACTCCATACTGGGGAAAAACCTTATAAATGTAATGAATGTGGGAAAGCTTTTCCCCAAAGTTCAGCCCTTAAACAACATAAGAAAATTCATAACAAAGAAAGAGCCACGAAATGTAGTTAGTGTGGCAAATTGTGCAGAGTAGTTTATTCCTTCTGACCGTCATAGAGGAGACATTAAATAAATTATGCATTTAACAGAAATACTCTGTGTACTTCTGAGAGAATACCTCACTTGTGAGGATATTCATTGTGAGGTTTGTACTAGTGAAATATTTGAATAAGCTAAATGTATGTCAGTACGGAAGTAGTTATAGCATACTGCGTGCTAATTGAAAAGAATGAGGTGGAGCTGTAAATACTGTACAAAGCCAGGCATGGTGGCATATGCCTGTAGTTCCAGTTGCTTGGGAGGCTGAGACAGGAGGATTGCTTAAGCCCAGGAGTTTGAGTCTGTAATGCATTATGATTGTGTGTGTGAATAGCCACTGCACTCCAGCCTGGGCAACATAGCAAGACTCCATCTCTAAGTAAAAAAATATGACAGTAAAAATATACCCATGATACCTTGTTAAGTTAAAGAAGCAAGTTGCAGGAAATCTATATTATATGCATTCAAAAAGACCTGGAAAAATAAAGAGCAATCTTAACAGCAGTTATCTCTCTCTGTCTCTCTCTCTCTCTTTTTTTTTTTTTTAAGAGACTAGCTCTTACTCTGTCACCCAGGCTGGAGTGCCATGTGATCATAGCTCACTGTAGTTTTGAACTCGGGCTTGAACAACTTCCCACTTCAGTCTCTGGAGTAGCTGGGGCTACAGGCATGTGCCACCACACTCAGTTAACAGCAGTTATCTTTGAGGAGGATGTAGAATAAGTTGAGCATCCATAATCGGAAAATCTGAAATCTGAAGTGCTCCAAAATCCAAAGCTTTTCTGAGCACCAACAGGTGCAAAATTCCACAACAGACCTTATGTGATGGGTTGCAGTTAAAATGCATCTTCAAGATTCCTTATTTTGTGCGTGCAAATATTGCAAAGTCCAAAAAAGTCTGAAATCGTAAATACTTCTGATCTCACGCATTTCAGACGAGGGGTACTCAACCTATATTGGTATGATGAAGTGAAATTTTGACTTTGGCTGTGTCCTTTGAAATGAAATATTTAATCAAGCATCATTCATGTGTCTTCTGTAACTTAGTGTAGTTATCTTCCAATATGAGAAAACTCAGAAATCATAAAAACAAGACAAATGCCACACAGAAACTAAAAGCTTTTAGTTTCTGCAGCTAGAGGCTTCTCAGTATTAAAATACAAAGCGCTGAACTTGGAGAAAATATTACCATCATCATATTTAACAGATAACACTTAGAATATCTAGAGACTCCTTAAAAATACATAAATATAAAAATTCCAGTGGAGAAATGGTCTTGGATATGAATGTACAATTATCAGAAAAAGAAATATAAATGATTATGCCTACAAACTTTGACCCTTTGACCTACCATTTATATTTAAAATCTAATTAAAAAGTACAGTGTTGTAGTAATGAAGAGCTGGAGTCACTGTAACGTCTGTCATCAGGGGAATGTTTAAATTAAGATACATGCAGTCTTTGGACTACCATGTAGTCACTCAACATTTAATTAAAAGACAGTCCTTTAATTAATTAACATTTGGTGAGTTAGACTTTTATGAGCTGACAGGGAAAGCTGTCTATAACATTAAGTTGAAAAAGATCCAAAGTAAAGAATAATAGTATAGTACTTCTTTTGTGTAGTCAATGCATTACCTGAATATTTTATGATAAAACTATATCACAGATATAGTTCAAAATGTAAAAGAAATAAAGCAAACTTGAAGAAGAATGCTATGAAATAGAAAATATCTAAGTATTCAACTCATGACTGAAAAGGGCCAGATTTAATCAAAAGAAACACAGTTGCACACACATAGATGATTGTTAGTAAGAACTGGTTAAGCTGCTTTGGATAACAGTTTGGCAACATAAATGTAAATCTAAATGTATGTTCTCATTGACCCAGAAATGCCACCCTCAAACATTTAAGGAAATAATTTGACTAACTTACAGAGCTTGTATTGCTCATCACCATTGGTTACACTAATATCCTGGAAAGATGTGGGAGAAACATCTAAGTAGGGAAATGTTTAAATAAGTTACAAAACTCTCATAGGCTAGCATCCCAGTTACTACAGATGTATAATAAACCATCACACACTTAGCTGCCAGTATTTATGCTCACAGATTTTGTGAGTCAAGGATTCAGAAAGGGCACAGCAGGAACAGCTTTGTAACCCCATGATGTCTGGGATTTCAGTTGGGAAAATTCAAGGTTGGAATCGACAGTTGGTCAGTGGAGTCATCTGAAGTGGCCACACTATGGTAGCCACAGGTGGCTACTGAGCAGTTGAAGTGAGGCCAGTCTGAATGGAGACTAGTGTGTTGATTGAAAATAGGACTGTAAGTATAAAATGTGCATCAGATTTCGAAGACTTTGTATAAAAAAAGAAACTAAACTATTTTAATGTTTTTTATATTGACTGTATTTTAGATAGGTTAAACTAAATGTATTAAAATTGAATTTTAATGTGACTACTAGAAAATTTCCATTTACATATGCGGCCTACATGTATGGTTCGCATGTTTCTATCAGACAACACAACTGAAGGCTCCATCACAAATTGGGTGGTTGATGCTGTTGGCTGGGACCTCAGCTAGGGCAGCTGCATGTGAACACCTACATGTGACCTTTTTATGTGGCTGCATAGGCCTCCTCAGCTTGGTGCCTGGGTTCTGGAGAGTCAGGCAGAGAAACTGTTATTGCCTGTTGTGATGTAGCATCAGAAATAACAGCATCTCGGCTGGGTGTGGTGCCTCATGCCTGTAATCCCAGCACTTTGGACGCTGAGGTGGGTGGATTGCTTGGGTCCAGGAGTTCAAGTCCAGTCTGGGCAACTTGGTGAAACCCAGTCTCTACAAAAAAATTAGCCAGGTCTGTGGCACGTGCCTTTGGGACATGTAGTGCCTATAGTGGTGGGGAGGCTGAGGTGGGAGGATTGCTTGAGCCTGGGAGGCAGAGGTTACAGTGAGCCAAGATTGCACCACTGCACTCCAGTCCGGGCAACTGGAGTGAGACCTTGTCTCAAACAAAGAAACAACAACAATAACAAAAAATTTGGCGTCTCTTTCTCCATAGTCAAGCCTGTCCAAACTCAAAGGAGAGGGAACATAGACCATACTTTTTTGGAGGAGTATCAGAGTCACATTGCCAGAAAAGTATATTCAATGGAGTACATTATTACAACAGTTTTGGAAAATATGATCTGCCATGGCATATGATACAACCATTAAAAAGGATAAAGTGGATATGTTGGATGAAGAAATAGGTTACAGAACAGTATCTGAAAGCTTATGGCAGCAGTTTAGAAGTATAATCTTTGGAGTCAGGGTGCAAGATGCAGCTTACCTCTTAATATATTTTGTGAAACCACTGGCTAGTTATATAGCCTATTGAATCATCTACCATGTACAGATAAAAAAAACCTAGTTTTGTTTAAAGGAGGTAAATTTGTAAAGTGCTTAGCTGAATACCAGATGCAAAGTGTAAGGTAAATGTTAGCTGGTGCTGTGTTAGTTATATTCATTTCTGTTTGTTTAAAAAGTGTATAGTATGTATACATATATACACGCACACATATATATGTAAAGGTGTATATACATATATTTCTCCTATATTTTAAAAAATATAAAGTTAAAATTCTGCATAAAGATATAAAATAAAAAATTTCTCTCATATATATATGAGAGGTCTCTTACAAAATTGATTAAAGATCTCAAAAGAACGTGCTCCACCATGATCTATATCCTGTGCACAAGGCTCAAGAGGGGCCAGTGGTTTTACCTGCTGTCAGACACCGTGAACAAAGCTTGGGTATTGGCTTGTCTTATTGAGGAAACCTACTTTAACATATGAAAACAAATAAAATATTTCAAAATGGTAATGATAATTGTGACATTTTTGGTAACGTATTTCATTTAAGAAGTTTTCATTTAAAACACTAGGGTGTTTATTCAAAATGGGACAAGACAGGACAATAAAAGAAAGCTGACCAATATTCCTTATCAGCATAGAAGCAAAAATCCTGAATAGAATATTAGCAAATAAAATCTAGCAATATATAGAAATAATAATATAGAATCATGATCAAATGAGGTTAAGGCTGGTTCAGTGTTTGGAAATCAATCAATGTAATCTACGTTAAAGAAGATTAAAGACCAAAGAGGAAAAACTGCCTGATCGTACCAATTGATGCAGCAGAAGCATTTGACAACATACAGCATCCATCCATGATACAAGTTCTCGGCAAGCTAGTAGAAGGGAAGTTCCTCAACCCCATAAAGCCCAACTATGAAAAACCTATAGTTAACCTCATACTTAATGGTGAAAGACTGAATATTTTCCCTATAAGATGAAAATAAGGTTAGGATATCTGCTGTCACTACTCTTGTTTTACATAGGACTGGCAATCCTGGCCAGTGCAATAAATCAAGAAAAGGAAATAAAAAGCATACAGATTGTAAAGGAAAGAGTGTAACTGTCTGTGTTTACAAAGGACATGATTGAATATGTAGAACATACAAAGGAAGCTATAAAAAGCAAAAACCGGCCAGGCGTGGTGGCTCAACGCCTGTACTCCCAGCACTTTGGGAGACCGAGGCAGCTGGATCACGTGAGGCCAGGAGTTCAGACCAGCCTGGGCAACATGGTGAAACCCCATCTGGATAAAATTACAAAAAATTAACCAGGCATTAAAGTGCATGCCTGTAATCCCAGCTACTCGGGAGGCTGAGGCAGGAGAATTGCTTGAACCCAGAAGGTGGAGGTTGCAGTGGGCTGAGATTTGTGCCACTGCACTCTAGCTTGGGTGACAGAGCAAGACTGTTTGAAAAAGAAAAAAAAATCCAAGAACTAATAAGTGAGTTTAGCAAGATTATAGGATCCAAGGTCACACACAAAAAATGTTTCTACACACTAGCAATGTACAACTGAAAGCTGAGATTAAAAACAGTGTCATTTGCAATAGTTCATAAAATAATGAAATTCTTAGGTATAAATCAAAACATGCATAGGACCTGTACACTGAGAACTATAAAATGCTGATGAAAGAAATAAAAGACCTAAATAAATGGAGAGACATGTCATATTCATGGATGGGAAGATTCACCATAGTCAAGATGTCAGTTCTCCATAAATTGATCTTTAGATTTAACAAAATATCAGTCAAAATCCTGGAAGGATTGTTTTGTAGATGTAGACAAGTGGATTCTAAAGTGTTATCCAAGGCAAAGGAACTGGAATAGCTAAAACAAGTTTTCACAAAACTAGAAAAAACTTTGACTCAGTTTACACAATTTAAGACTAAAGATTTAAGACTCTAAGACTGTGGTATTGGTGGAGATATAGAAATATACATAAGTGGATCAAAATAGTCAAGAATGGACCCACAGAAATATGACTAGTTAAAAAATTTTAAACGTGGGTGCAAAAACAATTCAATAGAAAAAGAGAAATCCAATACCATTTTCAACAAATGGTATTGGAGCATTTAGCCACGTGTTAAAAATGATCTTTGACCTATACTTCACACTTTACACACAGATTAACTCAGAAGGGATTATAGAGCTCAAAGTAGAGCACAAACCTGTAAAAATTTTAGAAGCAAACAGGAGAAAATCTTCATGATCTGGGTTAGGTACAGAATTCTTAGACATAACACAAAAACCATAATCCATGCAGAAAAAAATTGATAAACTGGAGCTCACATTTCTGGAAGGTAGGAAGTCCAGTATTAAGTTTCTGGCATCTAGTGAGGGACTTCTCACTATTTCATCCATGGTGGAAGGTGAGAGGGTGAGAGAGAGAGAAAGGGAAAGTGAAAGTAAAGGGGGTTGAATTCCCTCCTTTTATAGCAGGGATGCTATAAAACTGCCATGCTAACAGCATTAATCCATTCACTGCAACCACATGGCCTTATCATGTCTCATTAGGCCCCATCTCCCCAAACTTGCACTGGGAATAAGTTTCCAACACATGATTTTGGGGGAACAAATTCAAACCATAGCAACAATAAAATATTTGAGATAAATTTAACGAAATAAATGTGAGACTTGTACACTGAAAACCACCATTCCGGAAAGAAATTTTAAAAAATCTAAATAAATATAGGGACACTCTGCATTAATGAAGTTGAAGCTCAATATTTTAAGATTGCAAAACTCTTCAAATTGATCTGTAGTTTCAATGCAGCACCTATCACATTTGCAGCAGGATTGTTCTGAAGAATTGACAAACTGATTCTGCAATTTATACTAAAAGAAGAATTGAGAATGGTCAAAACAATCTTGAAAAAGAACTAAGAACGAAATTAATCCCAGTTTCAGAGCTTACTATACAACTGCTAAGGGGAAAAAACAAACTTTTCCATCTGTTGTCACACCACGACGACAACACAGAAGACTTCTGCGACCAAATGTGTGGGGATTTTTCCTGTCTGACAGATAGTGTCAGATCCCACAGGTTGAGGGCTCAACCCTGTAAGACTGCCTACACCCTCTCAGATGCTAGGTGCATCTGGAGGCATTCTGGACGTAAGCCCTGGTCTCCAGAACTTCTGACCCACCAGCTTCTCAAGTTTGGGCCCCCACAATCACCTCTTTGGGTTCCATTTATATAACTGCTGTCACCACACAATTAATTTGCTAGAGCAGCTCACAGAACTCGGAGCAATACCTACTTACATTTACTGGTTTATTCTTAAGGATATTACAAAGGAAAGTGATGGGGAGGTGCCTAGGGTGAGGCATGTGGGAAGAGGTATGGAGGTTTCACGCCCTCCTGGAGCGTGCCACCCTCCAGAACCTGCATAGGTTTTGCTATCTGGAAACTCTCTGAACCCTGTCCTTTAGGTTATTACGGAGGCTTCGTTACATAGGCATGATTGATTAAACCATTGGTTGGTGATCAACCTTTAGCCCCTCAACCCTTTCCAGAGGAGGTGGGCCTGAAAGTCCCAACCCTGTAATCCTCCCTTGGTCTTTATGGTGACAGCCCCATCCTGAAGCTACCTGGGGGGCTGTCAATGCATTAACATACAATAAGACATCATTTTGGTGTTTCTAAGGGTTTTGGGAGTTGTATGTTAGGAAATGAGGTTGAAGACCAATTATATATTTCACAATGTCACAGCTACTACATTAATCAAGACAGTGTGGTCATAGCATAAAATTAGACATATAGACCCATCAAACAGAATAGAGATTCTAGAAATAAACCCTTATGTTTTTGGCCAGTGGATTTTTTTTTTTTTCAGACAGGTTCTCACTCTGTTGCCCAGGCTGGAGTGCAGTGGTAAGATCATGGTTCACTGCAGCCTCGACCTCCCAGGCTCAAGTGATCCTCCCACCTCAGCCTCCTGAGTAGGTGGGACTACAGATGTGTGACACATCACCGGCGAATTTTAAAATATTTTGTAGAGATGGGGTCTCCCTATGTTGATCAGGCTAATCTCAAACTCTTGGGCTCAAGCAATCCTCCTGCCTCAGCCTCCCAAAGTGCTGGGATTACAGGTGTGGGCCACCGTGCCCATCATCAGTGGATTTTTTTTTTTTAATGGGCTCAAATGATCTCTGTAGGGCCAGCTACTTGGGAGGCTGAGATGGGAGGATCACCTGAGCCCGTTAGCAATGGATTTTTGACAGATGTGCCAAGGCAAATTCAGTGTGGGGAAAGGATAGTTTTTTCCACAAATGGTGCTGGAATAATTGGATATCCTCATGTAAAAATATATAAGTTTAGGATATATATATATATGTTTATATATATATATCCTAATATATATAAGGATATATAAACATATATATCCTATATATAAAATATATGTTTATATATCCTTATATATAAGATATATATAAGTTTATATAGGATATATCTTTGTATATCCTATATAAACATATATATCCTATATATAATATCCTATATATAATATATGTTTATATATCCTTATATATGTTTATATATATCCTATATATAAGGATAAGTGTTATCCTCAAAAAAATATGTTTAGTCATTTCTCATCATACATAAAAATCAAGAAAGATCATTGACCTAAATAGAAGAGGTAAGTTATACTATATATATATATATATACACACACACACACACACACACATATATATTTGGTTTGGGATGTAGAGGCGAAGGGAAAACTTCCCCATTGCCCTCTGAAAGTTTGCTGAACATCACTGACAAAAGGCAGATTAACAGAAAAGGCATGCACATTTATTTGATCGTAGTTTTACTTGAAATAGGAGCCTTCAGAATGAAGACTCAGAGATACAGGGGATAGGGCCCATTTTTTTGCTCAGGTTCAACAGAATATGTACAGCCATGTAGAAATCTGATGGGATGAGAAGGGTGTGATCCGATACTGACAGACTGAGTGGGGAAAGGGGAAACCCAGCAGGGCCTGTCTGTCTAGATTGTTCGTGGCCTCTCTAAACATGCGTTCCTTCCTTCTGCCTCTGAGGCAGGACCCTCTCTGGAATGGGGGTCTTAGGACATACAGTTAAATAAGGTAGGTCAGATAACTTTTTTTTTTTTTTTTTTTGAGACGGAGTCTGGCTCTGTCACCCGAGCTGGAGTGCAGTGGCCAGATCTCAGCTCACTGCAAGCTCTGCCTCCCGGATTTATGCCATTCTCCTGCCTCAGCCTCCCGAGTAGCAGGGACTACAGGCGCCGCCACCTCGCCCGGCTAGTTTTTTGTATTTTTAGTAGAGACAGGGTTTCACCGTGTTAGCCAGGATGGTCTTGATCTCCTGACCTCGTGATCCGCCCGTCTCGGCCTCCCAAAGTGCTGGGATTACAGGCTTGAGCCACCGCGCCCGGCCGACAGATAACTTTTTTATGGCCTGTTTTTACACAGAAAGGTATGGGAAAGTGAGG